TTTAGTTCACTATATCCAATTTGCATGCATCATATTTAATCCTCTGACACTTGTTTTCTCTTATAAAGAAAGTTTACAAAATGCTTCACCGATCAATATCCTTGATATCTGTGATTGTCTCCGTCTCTAATAAAAAGACGTTTCACTTGTTTTTAATTTTTTTGCTGCAATTATTTTTGAAGAGTACGTGAAAATGTCTTTCATCTGTTCTTCTGACAAATCAGAAGTGTGTTGAATGAAAGAACAGTAGAATAATAATCCTCTGTATGTAAATGTGGGTGTTTGGAGCGGAGCTGCTGTAAGAACTATGACCATGTGCCTCCTGCAGGTCTCCAGTGATGGCGGGTGGACTGTTCTCTGTGGACAGGAAGTGGTTCTGGGAGCTCGGAGGATACGATACGGGTCTGGAGATCTGGGGAGGAGAACAGTATGAGATCTCCTTCAAGGTACAAGTCTTTTTTTTAAATTTTATTTTATGTACTTTATCAATTTTGGTTGATTTTATTTGGCCCATGTGCAATCTGCTAACATGGAGATCAGCATTTGACTCTAGTTGCTTCGTGTAAATAATCTGTTTAAAATCAAATTCATAATAAATTCATTCGTGCATATGAAGCAACTATAACTGCACGACTGTATTCTGTGAGGCAGAAGTTCAGGTCCTGAAATTTAAAGGCTCAATATGCACTTGAGTGTTATTTTAAGCCGTGTGAAAGAGGCGAGGATTTCTCACATTTAAAGCTGTCAGTGTGAAATGAATGATAGACCTTGACACCAGTCGTGACCTTTGGGTTGAGCCTGCTGTGAAAAGCTCTTATGTTTCAATGCTGTTTTGAAGCTTTTCATTTTATTTAAGTACTTACTGAGATAATATCCCCAAACCGAGGTTATTATTTTGGCCAAGATTATCATACTATTAAACTTTGCCATCAGCGCATTCCTAGCTGTGCCGCCATAAGTCTGCTTTATGCCCTCACATATTCAATTTGGTTCCTTTTTATTAAGATCCCCATTAGCTGATACAGCACAGACAGCCAGTCTCCTGAGGTGAGAAGATTAACAGGCTCTCATACTAATCCTTACAACCAAACTGCTGCTCCCACAGACAGCCAGGCCCTGCTCGCATGTGAAACACAATCACTTCTTTCAGCGGCCCAGTTAATCTAAAGCTCCATCCTGGTGACGCGGCTGTGGGAACACTGAGCGTTTCCAGCTCACACACAGAGATAATGTCACAACCTACAGCCTCGTGGAGGAAATATGACCTTACACACTGAGATGACGCCATGGAACCGACAGTGGCTTCTTTATTTTTCAGATTTGAGCTTCACTCATTCTCTCAGAGACAGAAATAATTAAAACCCTGGATGCAGCCAAAATTATTCAGAGTGGGAGCTAACAGTGAACTAGGAAGAGAAGAAACCTTTTCTAAATGCAGACATTAAAGAAAATTTGCAATGTTTGTTGGATGAATGGATGGTTTATACTGTAGAATGTTACTACTTCCATTTCTGTATAAAGATGGATGCTGCAGCTCTACTTCCTCCCACAAAATGTCCGGCTCTGAAATATCTTGTTCCAAAGAGTTGATTTGGAGCCATATTGTGCACAGTGGGGATCAGGGGGTGGAGCTGCGTTAATGAGGTCCCTCAGTTGACAGGCTTGACCAATCAGAAATAAATAAATAAAGATGGACAATGTGTCTCCACTTCCTTTGGTTGTAGAACAATGAAGCCAGAATATCCCAGAGTGCAGCAGTCTCTCGCTTTTGGCATCATTGGACACGAGTCTGTGCAATGGTGATCGTTTAATAGGGCCATGGTCCCACCCACACATGTGCTCGACCAATTGTGGGTGAGTCTCAGCTGTCAATCATGAGGTTTATAGCATCAAGTAACTTATAAGACGCAAACCTGTTCGAAAAATCCAGACTTTGAAAGTTAAAAATGGAATTTGAAGTCTAATAATTAGTTTGGCTCATGTCCCATCCACTAACATAGATGAGGAGGGGTTTATGACCCGTGCTGCAGCCAGCCACTAGGGGGCAATCCAGACGATTTGGCTTCACTGATGGGGCCATTGTGTCGTCACCATCTATAGTTTCATCATATTGCCCTGGCTCGCTCTGATTCTTGTTTCCATGACAACACCATCAAACCGTCTTTCCCCGCCTGAGAAAAACAAACTTTATGGTTAAAGATGCAGAATTTTCTGCCAACTTTCTGCGTCGTCGTCAAATCCTGGAGTCAAATCACGAAGCATCAACACAAATAAAACATCAGTTGTTTACAAGAGCACAGGGTCGGTTCAATCAGGGGGCAGAAGTGACCCTCCAGTATCGAAGTCATGAACCCGACATGTTGTTGGCAGCCTTTGTTTATAGTCATCATTATTCAAGTAGTTGAAGCACATGACCACAGCACCGACCTGTGTGTGTGCATGTTTCTGTGTGTGTGTTAATGTTTTATTTATTCTCAGACACCAATGGAGACGAGCTCAGCTTTTTGTTGCACTTTATTCAATTCTGGATTTTTGTCTGGCAGCGATATGTTTTATTTATCATCAGTCGGAGTGAACTCTGGTGTTCTGAAGTTTCTCACTAGGAGCCGAGCTGTGTCGCTTATGGTAGAAGGTGAAACAGACCTGAGAGACTGTGGCCGAGCTGCAGGGACGATGGCGGACAACACGGGGTCGCTTTAATTGTTTTGTTTTTTTTGTCTCTGTAATTTACAATTCTTGTTTTGGTCGACCAAGCAATTTACTGTAGCGCCTCTTACAGGTGATTCTGTTTTCCCACCAAACTTGAACCAAAAATGTTTAAAGCAATAATAATAATATTCATAATACATCAGATTTGCTCCACACTTCTATGGCCTCGAACCTCTTCACTTATATAGAAACTTTTTGTACATTTGTCATATATTTATTTAGTTTTTTAGTTTTTGTTTAATTAACGTGCTGCAATTAGCGAAAAAGATGGTTTGGTTTCCCACAAACATTAAGAACCAAATGTTACGATGAACTTGAAGTTGCTGTATCTTCTATTTATATCTGGATTTCCTTCTCGGTGAAGTTTCACATTTCCTGTAATTGCATCGTGGGTTAGGTCATGGACAAGCGGTCGACCGCTGCCTTTAGACCCTTGAACTCTGTGTCAAACTCAATGAGGTCATATGTAAAACATGCATATTTCATGATCCATTATTTCTGCCCATGAGCTCAAACTCCCCACAGCTTCAACTTGCCTTCAACCTTCAAACAGAATACAGTAAATCCTATTTGCTTATTCAAGGTCCGCAGCAACAAATTGGCTGCACTGTCTTCCTGTCTATACCTTCCTGGTTTGTTGCCATGTTTAAATCCAGCTTTTCATTTCCCCTAGTTTCATTTTCCGATTGTCTTGAAAACAAAAAACACTTTTTTCAGTTTTCGCCGTCCGTCTCTAAGCCGTTCTTTCTTCTCCATCCTCCTCATTGTCTCTCTTCTCTGTCTCAAGGTTTATTTTCAACGTTGCCAGCCGAGCAAAAGAATCATCACTCTTGTTTTCATTATAGTCGGAGGATTAAAATGAGGAGCTTCAGCTGGATGTCTGTGTTGTATGAGATAGACGAGCAAAACAGAAGAAATGGGTGGAATTGCTGAAAAGGAAGGATTGTTTTAACTTGAGACGAGCACATTAGGACGCTTATAACCTATTCAAACCTCATTGTGAAATTAAAAGAGGAAATTCAGACTGTTTTCCTGAAAAGCTTTTTTCTTACGTTTCTCCAAAACTGACCTAACCCAGCGACTCGTTCTTTCTCTTATCTGACTGAGGTGAAGTCCGAGCACCATCATATCATAATCTGGCTTTGGCATCTCCTCCTCCTCCTTCTCCTCCTCCCCTTCTTCCTCCTGCACCACCAGCACCACCCTGCACATCTCATCTTTATTGCCTCTTCCTCTGCATTCACTCCTCTCTCCTCTGAGTCTCATGGGATTTATAATCCTGTTAGAGCCACTGCACTTCATGTCTCTTTCTCTTGAGCCGTCTGTCTCCTGCTCATCTCCCTCATCATCCTCTTCCTTCACCTCTCAGCTCTGTGTCTCTGGGTCTTAAGATGGAAAAGGCAGACGATCCAGCAGATGAAAGCGGTTTCTCTCTCTCCCTCTCTGTCCCTGCAGGTGTGGATGTGTGGTGGTCGGATGGAGGACATCCCCTGCTCCAGGGTGGGACACATCTATAGGAAGTACGTCCCCTACAAGGTCCCTGGTGGGATCAGCCTGGCAAAGGTAATCCTGTCATGACAAAAAAAATACAGCAGAACACTGACAGGTTTTCTATTTCTATACACAGCCTGGTACAAAGGTCAACGATCACATCACCTCTGTTGAATTTGGAATTTCAAGGAAAATCCAAGTGTATTGGGCCTGTAGAATGTGTTTAAAGGTCCGTCATTTGATTATATAAAGGATACATAAAAATCATGTGTGTACAACCTCAGTATTTATATCAGCTGTCTCTCCAGGCTCCTACGATGACTAAAAAAAGTGATTTGTATTTATAAAATCAAGAGTGTCGCTTAATTAAATGCTTTAAAAATCAGTGTGCACAGGGCGGCTGAATTATGTGAATATCACAAGATAGTCAGTATTAGCTAATGTTAAATATGTAACTGTACGAGTTGTAGTTTTCTGCCGCCAGTGGATTCTCCATTCAGAGTTATGCTGACAATATGAAGCAATATGGGATTATGGGAGTCTTCTCCTCCATTTCCATTATTGGACTCAGCCTCTCCTGGTTATTATTCGTTCAGTGCTGAAGGTTTTGGAGGTTTTTAGTGGGAGCTAAATTCTCCTCCTCTCCAAAACGAACATGATTAAATTCAGTAAAAACACTGAATAAAGCAGCTTCATGTTAAAAATCTATGATTCTCCAAAATGTTTTCTCAAGTTGTTTCTCTGATAACTTAACATCCATCAAAAGTGTATCGTGAAGTTAAACTGGATAAAAAGAAAAATCTGACACAAAACAGAGACATGTGAAGAGGATTTGACAACTGAGCAAATTGAATGGATCATTACCTTGATTAACACATTTCTCTCGTTGGAATAGTGCTGATTACATTTGTTGCCGTGCAAATAAAAAAACAAACGAAAAAAACTTTTCATTCAAATTGTGAGACTGGTTTGTATTGATATTATGTCTGAACGACCATTGTCTGGTGTTTTGAAGATTTGAAAACTGTTTTTTCTTTTCACATTTACTGCATCTCTTTGTTTTGTTCTCATTTATAAAAAAAACAATCTCAGTAATTGTTATTGATCAAACAAATAAAAATGAAGCAAAATCCGATTATACATTTTCAGAAACAGTGACAGCCTATCAACAAAGAAAACTAAAGTCCACCTTGAGCAGGACTGAAATATGTAAAATCAAATATATTTCAGCCCAGCCCATGCAAACACACACACACACACACACACACAACCTGTAGAAACAACATCTGTCCCTGAACCAAACAGAATTAAAATTGGTGTAAAATGTGATGATGGGATTTTCATATGAAGCGCAGAACAAAGACAGAAGAACGTACATGACCACTACATGCAAACATGTATAACATGCACGTACATGCACATCACCCTACAGTGTGAGCAGGTAACTGATATAATGAGGCAGCGGCTTTGTTCCCTACCCCCCAATGTTTAACAGCACTTTACAGTCTCCTCAGTGTCGACAGACAAAAGGCCAGTAGCTGTTTGCAGTGTTACAGCTTTTGCAGGAGCTACTGAGCAGATTGACCTTAAGTTTCTTTGTTCCTTGTCTTCTTCAAAGTACCTGCACAGAAAAGGGAAATTGTGTAAAAGTGCGAAATCTTCCTGGGATGTAGCTGAGCACCATGTATTATGTATGCCTCTGCCGCAGCCTGAAACTTGGCTCGGTTTGACTCAGTATGCAACTGAAAGGCTCTGGCCTTTGTTCTGCTTTTTTATTCCGAGCAACAATATTTAAACTGGACTTCAAAGGAATCCTGATCACCCTGGATCAACCGAACACATATAAAGAAAATATTTACTGAAAATGAACTCTTTTGAATCACTTTCCAAAGTTCGTCTTTGTCATTGAAGTTTTGAAGAATTTCCAAACTTTGCTGTCATGTTGGATTATGCTGAGTCAAGATATAAATGCCACAGACTCCGAAAAACAATAGTTCTACCGAAGAACCATAAAACTACGTAAACAATATGGTTCTTGCAAAGTAATCGATCCATACGACGGTTTGTGTTTTGATTTCAGAACCTGAAACGAGTGGCCGAGGTGTGGATGGACGAATACGCAGAATACGTCTATCAACGCCGGCCCGAGTACCGCCACCTGTCCGCAGGAGACATGACGGCGCAGAAGGATCTGAGGAACCGGCTCAACTGCAAGAACTTCAAGTGGTTCATGAGCGAGGTGGCGTGGGACCTGCCCAAACACTACCCACCGGTGGAGCCCCCTGCTGCTGCGTGGGGGGAGGTAAGAGCTTTAATTTTAATTGTGACATATATCTAGAATGGTTTGATCCTGTTTGGTTAATGGGACACCCAATAAATCATTTGACCACAAATGACCAGAGGTCGTAAAGGAAAGTGAACAAAAAACTTTTTTAAATGAATTTGAAGTCAGTAGGTCGTGTTGTTTATGCACTGATTGACCAACTAAGACTGGATATGCATCTGTCTTCTTGACTCCACGTATTTCCACGTGTCTTTCTTTAGATACGAAACGTGGGGAGCGATATGTGTATGGAAATCAAACACTTTGTGTCGGGGAGCCCCATCCGCCTGGAGAGCTGCGTGAAAAGTCGTGGAGAGGTGGGCTGGAGTCACGGACAGGTCAGAGTCCAGAGAGTCTTTACACTAACACTAACACTTTCTGCTCACGTTGCTTGGCTGCAGCTCTACACTGCAAATATTGCACATGACGGAACCACAACACGAGGATTTCAAAGTAAAGATGCTTATTGTTTTGGCCGTGGAGCAATTATTTTAATGGACTAATCATCGGGAGCCAAAGTGGTTCAGTTTGTTCAGTGGTTCCATTCTACTGGCAGCAGTTGATCCACCACTTTGGCTCAGAGTGTAATATTTCAATAAATATTACTTTTGTCACCATTAAAATGTATAACAGATTTTTACGACCCCGAGATGATGAAGCCCGTTACATTTTTTTAACGATGCCCTCACTTTTGGCCATTTTCCCTTCAGTTTAATTTCTAAAACCAATAACCAAATTCCCGTACAGCTTCAGAGGTACTTTGATAAAACTCTGAAGTGATGTAAACGTGGATATTGACTCTTGCATGTGAATTTTTAATCCAAAGCTTGAAATCCGTCTTGTTTCCAGATGTATGTCAGCATTTTGACCTTAGTATGTTGGCACGCTAACAAGCTAGCATCAGTATCAAATGCAAACATTTCCTGATATCTCCCGTACAGGTGTTAACATTTGGTTGGAGGGAGGATATTCGAGTGGGCGACCCCATGCACACCAGGAAGGTTTGCTTTGACGCAGTCTCCCACAACAGCCCTGTCACCCTGTACGACTGTCACGGCATGAAGGGCAACCAGCTGTGGCGCTACAGGAAGGTACGACACGCGAAAGTGACTTGCTGTCAAACTGTATGTAGTTTTTGAAGGTCGAATTATTTTATAACTGAATATTAAAGTTGGGTTTTTTTAGATTTAAAGACATTTTCAAATTTGCCCTTTGTATAATTATATATATATGAAAAAACTTCTAAAGGTCAAGGCTGGGAATCAGAAAATGAATCCCTTCATGAGTGTGACTCACGAAACATATTTTATTAACGCTTCATCCTTTAAGATCTTGAGTTTCAGTGAAAAAGTACTTTAGAAACTGGTTTCCAGCAGGTTTCCTGATGTCCCACACTGTACAACAAACTTACACGGAGACAAAAATAGGCAGCAAACAATTAAGTCAAACAAAAGATTGCTCATGGACAAAGGCTAATCAATAAATCAAATTTTAATAAGAAATTATTCAGAATTTAACAGTACAGCAAAACGGAAAACATTGGTTTCCTCTTACTGGGACACAAATCCACCCGACAATTTAATTTAATCCAAGCAAATGTTCAAAGTAGTTCCACATATATGGAGGAAATACATGTCAAATCAATCAGTTACTACACGTAACCAGTTTTCCTTTATTTCTGTCTTTCCTCCAGGATAAAAGTCTGTATCATCCCGTCAGTAACAGCTGCATCGACAGCAGCCCGAGCGAGCGGCGAGTCTTCATGAACTCGTGCGACCCGTCCTCGCAGAGCCAGCAGTGGCTGTTCGAGAGAACCAACGCCACCGTGCTGGAGCATTTCAACCGGGACACGAACTGAGGGCACTGAGCAGTGAGATGAAGCATCTTCTACAGAAAAAGAACCTTGGAGCAATGAGCTGCTTTGACCACGTGAGTAAAACTATGATAACTTTTGTTCACACCAAAAACAACAATAAACAGATTATTATAACAACATGTTCTCCAAAACTCCAAAACCATATCCATCATTGTCCAAAAGTATTAAATCAGTCCCACATGTACCATCCTGCTGTAATAAATACTTCCTAATAACTACATTGTCAAGGTTTTTGACAGTTTTCCTCAGTTTTTCTTGTTGTATATATTTTTGAGGTTTACTTCTTCTCCAATGGACACAGACAGATTCGTTCATAGGAAAGTCTTCATCAACCAATTGAGAGACTGACTGTTGGAAATTATCTTTTATATCCACACATTATTTTGAAATGTCCCAACAACACATTGTCTGATCCAAGAATTTGTCCTTGTTCCAGACGAGAACAGAAGCTACGAAATGAAAAGATGCTGCTTTAGAAACATTCCCTGTGGTGGAGCAGTGATCCAGTGCACCGGCTCGGAGCTCAGAGAGCCGCTCGGACCACACACATCCAGAATCCAATAATACAGCGTGAGCTTGCTGTGGGGATGGAGGTAAGAGAAAGAGACACTTGGCTGAGCACTGATGCCACCAATCTGTTACCGTCTAAAGTTAATTTACTGAAGAACATTGTAAAAAATAACTATTCTGTTCTTCTGCAGGACGGGAGAGAAGCTCAGTGAATCCCGACCGTCCTGTGGAAACACTGTGGAATTTACAAACCTTTGCAAAGACGCTCCTTTCTTTCATTGCTGGTTTGAATCTGCCAGACACAGACTCTTCTGGATTAAATGGATGATATCGTCTTTTGCCTTTTTTCTATTTTTGCCTTAAAAATTCAACCGTGGGATTTTCCTGCACCTTGTTTTCACTCGTGGCTTCAGGAGACTTTTGGAAAGACGTTACTCTGTGGAAACTGAGGAAGGAATTCATCTTTCTGTGCAGCCTGACTTTTTTTCAGAGGAACAATCTTGTACAGACTCATTTTGAAATTGAAAATATTTTTCTACTGTCTAATAAAGCAACAAAATGACATAAGTGCCAATGATGTTTTCTTCTTTCTGAGGTTTTACAAAAAGCACACTGATGCAAAATAATGATGTAGATTCCTTAGAGGCCTGACACTTTAATCTACATGAATATTTTCTACAAACTTCTCACATTAAACGCAGAATATCCAGGATCTGGGCCAGATCCAGCAAATCACCTCCCTAAAGATATTCTTTTGATTGAGAAAATGCAGATTATTATCCAGATCAGCACTGAATTTATTGCGTTGTCATACATATTAATATTCCACAAATACCTGATAAGATCTCTGCACTATTTTTTGAGAAATTTTAAAAGATTGCCAGTCCCACCAAGTTTCAAGGCAATTGGCTGCTCAGTTATAATTGTTTGTGTAAACCTGTTAAAATCTTGTTTTTGTCCACTGCAGGTGTATCTGTTCATTGGTTGGTGTAACAACTCATGGATATATTACTTTGATATTTTGCACAGACAATGAAAAATTGAGAAACACTATAATATACCTACTCCCAACAGTTCTTCTGAAATCTTAATTCCACTAGATCCAGATTTGTATAAGGTCCACACCCTTTTATAATCAAGATCCATGAATTATTCTCTGAAAAATCAACACAAATGTTGAATAAAGTAGCAAATAAATCCTTCCAAGAGTCATCACACAAAGTTTCCTGATAATCTATCCTGTAACAAGAAACAAAAATCAAAACATATCATCAACACAATTCAGGTTTGAGAACTGCACCTAGTGGGAGGTCACACCCTGATCATTTTATGAAGACTTTATAAACACAACTTTATAAAGAGGTATGATTATGAACATTTGCAAAATTCATAAAGACAGAGTCAGCAGAGTTGAAGGTGGCGGTCCAATCTATATTTACATGATAATGAAACAAACCTTGGAGTTTTGTATTAGTCATCAAACAGTATCTGCTCCAGCCACATTGTGCCCACTCCAGCAGTGTGGATTTGACCGCTCAGGTCCTTGACTCAACATCTATATATGAGCTCAGACATCTTATTGGAAATGTGATAAAAACCGAGGTCACACAAACTCATCATCCCGGCTCAGTCGGGAGACGAAACCTGCACAGCAAGCTAACGTTTCCTCACAAAGGACAGCAGCTGCCGGGGCCCAGAGTTCATTTACCTCTTCCACTTTTTTATTGACAGAGTGAGTCACCAAACCGAGAGTCAAATCCAATACCCGAGTATGAGTCTGGGGATCTTATTGGCGAAAGCCACCAAGGTCAAACAAACAAAACAAAGGAAAGCCACTGCATAATTTGCCCTGACCTTGGTCGTTCTACATGCAGCCAGGGTGGAAAAGTATTGACGTATGATAAAACTGAGATCAGGTCACCACACTTCATATTAGTGTGAATTCTAAAATGTGAAAAATGTGCTTAAATTCATAAAATAGACTTTTAAGACCCCACACTGAACACAGAAGCATGAATAACAGCTTTGTTGAAGCATATCAGAATTCCACCCCACAGCCAATATGTACACGAGCCAAAACTTCATCACTGCTCCCGCCTACTAATACACTGTTGTTCTCTTTCTGCTGCCCACAAAGTTTTAAAGGGAGACCTCTGAAGGTGTCCTGTGGGATCCGCAACCACGACATTAGCAGAAAATCCTAAAGTTGTGCAGTGGAGACGCCACAGATTGGCCCTGTTGTTTCAGTATGTCCCCTGCTGCAGGATCATGATGTCGGAGTTACCCTGATGCAGAACGATCTTGTCAATGTGGCTTTTACAAACTGACTCGCTTTCACTCTCATCTAAAATATCCAATATCTGGATACGTTGCAACAAGAAAATGAATGTTGTTCGTTTGACTTGTGAGTGTTCATAACGTTTAGCTCTAAATGGTCAATTTCACCCTGTATGAAGAAATGTCAAGGTTTGAGTGGAATGATCTGTAGTCTGAGAATCCATCTCCATTGTGCTCAACTTGTTTAACCATTACACATGAGGCGAATTAATCTCCCTTCACCACGTGTGTACAAATCATCACAAAAACCCAAAGCAACAAACAGTTTTCCAAAACTTGAACCACAAAATGACGAACTCAGCAGCAGCTCGCAGACCGACAGGTGACGTCACGGTGGGTTGACGCTCGGTCATATCAAGTAAAGTAGCAGGAGATGTTGGAACTGATTGTACGAGCAAAAGATTGAATACTTTAATGTCAATAAATCTTCCTGCTGCTCTTTCTGCAGTTTGCTGTAAACTGTTTTGCTTTAAAGGACAATGATGTCTTTGAACACTAAAAACATCTCGTCTATTTTAATTATGCCTCCAGCCTGGACTGGGATTGAAATCTCATCATGGCTCCTACTTTTGTTAAGCAGATATAAAAGTAAATATCAGGGTTTTCATTGACAACTGACTGAAAGACTGAAGAAAAACATCAATGTGAAGCGTTATCTCCTGAGTCTCTTTGTCTTCCTTTATAAATCTGAAACGCTACGTGTGCTTTAATGATCGCTGAGCGACAACGAGGACTTTCCACAAAACCTAATAAGAATAATGGCTGACAAGACAATTGGCTGGAAAAGGGTTGACCGATTCGGGTATTTTCACCCTTCTTCATGGTGAGAGCCATTTGAAAACATACGTTTGAAACCTTGCAAATTGCTTGTGGTTTTGCTGATTTGTGACATGAACATCAGAAAACACAGAACGAAAAGCTGGAGACAAAACAAAACTGGAACAAAGAAACAAATGCTATTTGCAGAAATAGCTCAGAATTAAAAGCAGCCTATTAGCATGTGTGTTAAGCGAAGTAATAAAAGTATTAGCTGGAGATAAGAGTCCTCGAGTGACAAGTGACTCCTGGTGAAAATGAAAGTTTCTCTCTCTGGGGAGACGCAGCGTGACTGATCCAGTCCCTCCTCGAGGCTCCTGATTGGCTCAGACCAGGGAGCCTGGAGAGGTGTGACAGTCCTGCTCCGCTCATAACCCATCAGCTGAATAATTACAGCTAACCTTCTTCTCCACAGGGCTTTGCTGCTACAAACCGCGCTGCTGTCACACACTAATGGAAAACGGCGGCAGCAGCAGCGTCGCAGCGGCAGGTTGGGGTCACAGGGGACCTGGGTGGACGTATTCGGGTCAAATCCTCTAACACGAGTCGCTGTTGGAGCGATTACCTTCCCTCAAGCTGCCCTTAAAGAAAGAAACTATCAAACCAAAAGGAAGGAATTCATATAATTAGTCGTACTCACCAAATGATAGCAGTTCATACTCATTGCATAAGATATATAAAGACATATTAAATCCCTTATACACTGAGTATGAGCCTGTTTTTAAAGACACTTTCCAATTCCCGTCAAGAGCACAACAGCTTCACTCTGCATATTTGTTCTCATCGTCCTTCTGCCAGCGGATGTGACTTATCATTTATTTCCACTAGTAGTTATACCTGATGTTATATTTACATAAACCCACTCAGCCTGAGTGAGTGGATCCGAACTGGAGCTTCAGAAAAACAACAAAGTCGGTTTCTCACTCGTTTCTTGGCGACACACACACGTGCTGCTGTCATGTCTTTGGACGGACTTGTGCATTATGTTGTACGGTATATTCCGCTCGACACATGTCCAACATCTGCTCATCCACAGGAGCCAAGCTTCTCCTGAAAGCCACAAAAAAATGAAATAAGAGTCTGTGTTTCATAACGAGGAGCAAACCGGTGTTTTTGCATTTTTTACTCCATTTACTACAAATCGTCTTTTTATTGCTGTAATCTAGGTTTGTGTACTGCAGCCTCCAGGCTTCTTCTACATCTTTCACCACAGTGTGGAAATCAACCTGCAGTGAAACTTGAGCGATCACAAATAATATGAGTGTAACAGCAGTAAACAGGAGCCGGGGCCCACGAGCAGATTCTTCAGGGAGATCATGTGTCATTTAACTTCCTCATTACTTGTAAGCCAGGCAATGAAAATAACAGTGTTGTTGTTTTGTCTCCATAAAGATTCCACAGTAACACAACTCCTGGAGAATACTGTCATTTATTCACATTTATTTATTCTCATCCCAATATAGGATGTATGTGGTACTTTCCTTGACTTTACCTGCAATGTGATTGTATGAATCATTGTCTGTATATGAACATGGACGACAGGACAATTCCTCCTCCATGTTAGCAAATGGGACATAAACAACAAAAACAACTAATACATTTGGTTTTAAATGTGTTTTGATGCGATAAAACATGGTGGCAGCGCTCCTGTCCAGAATATTCTGGCTTAATGTTTCTACAATGAGAGGAAATGCAACTTTATTTAAAGTAATTTATACACGTTTTCACCTCTGGACAAATTCAAATGATTAATTTATCCCCCTAAATACATTTGCCTTGACTAAATGATATTCATGAAGAGGAATTTGAGGCTCTTACATGTGATTGGCGGTTCTGAGTCATCGTCTCAGCGTTAAGTGGAGTGATATCTGCTCATTTCACTCCCAATCTGCAGAGAGGAGCCTCCTATTCTTCCGCTAACCGACAGGATTGTATAAGAAGGGTGGAGCTGAGATGGATGTGAATCCTGGGTTTCTGAGATCACACAGAAATGCTCACTTGAAAGCCAGAGAGCTGAAAAGGAAACACTTTTCTCTGCGCACCCCTGAGATGGCCGATCATTTTAATTCCATTTCATCTTGTTTAAAGTCACATCTCACGGCGTGCGGCGGCGTGCTCGATCCTAAACTTGAGTCATTTATCGAGGACGCTCTCGGGGGTTTCTGTGATAGAATGATGGCAACTGAAAAGATCCACCATCTTCACTGTGTTATATATCATCGCTCTGCGACGCTCGCTGCGCTCCAGGAGGTAGTTTTGTGATTGAGGGGTGTAATATACTCTCTGTGCCCATTTCCACTCAAACCTGCCTCATCTGTCTCTACTTCAGCTGATAATTTCCTACATTTCCCACAATGCCTTTCAATGATTCCCATTCACTAGGCATGATAATGCTGTTAGCAACACATTAAA